GGAAGTGGAAAATTTAATTTGGTCAGAACAATGCTTACATTATAGACCTAGATATTGAATTCCATATTCTAGTATGGTACATCTTAATTTATTACTTTCATTTTAGTAAGTCTTTTTGCATTAACATTTAGATACAGATACAGAAAACTTTATTTCATCCTTCACAGGAAATTCACATGTTTGTGATGGTAACCTAGTTCACATTTGTACAGTAAGATGAATATTACAAAACTACACAAAAATTAAACTGCTGAAGATAAGGATAACCAAACAACTATCTTTGAAAATTTTCGTTGAGGAATCTGATACCCTTAGGGTTGAAAGAGTAATGATATCGATTTGTGGGTGTAGATGATGACCTGAGTCTCCCACTCAGTTCAATAAAATTAGATACAATTACAGAATGGAGAGGATAAGAAGAGTCTACCATTACTATAGCAAACTTCGCCATCACCCTGTCACATTAAACAGAGTCTACAGAAGGCACCCATCCCCCAATAATTCTTCCAGCCTTATCAACGATACGATTAAGTCTATCCATGTCATCTTTTAGAATATTCCCTCCCCAGCACACTGTAAATGTTACTTTTGATGTTCAAGTTTTATTGTTTTAAAGGGGAAGGGGTAAATGTTGCATTTTTTAGGAAGAGAAGAGGGTAGAAGGGTACTTAGTAATTTGTAAACAGTATTGGTTTAGATAATAAGTTAAGTAAGGTTATATTTAGTGGGAGCAGTAACAATTTGAATTTTTCAAGAAAGGAGGGGAGGAAAGAAGGAATTAATTTAAGCTGTTTTTCGTTTGGCTAGGTTGTTTTAATGTATCTTGTAATTAATTTGTCTTAAGTTTTTTTGTGATTGGAAGATAGATCATAACCACAGATCCAATCCTTTTATCCACCAAATGTTTATCATACTCAAGTTTTCATTAAAATCAGTCAGATTAAATAAACATCTTAGGAAAAACTTTTCATTATATTTATGTATTTATTTCATATCACAAGTAGCTAGTACTGTACTCCAACCTACAGTATGTGCAATATTTGTTCACATTCAAAAACTCACACTGACCTAGTACTGTATTGAAACTTAAACTTATCCAGGGATAATTGGTTGTCAAGGAGATCATTTAAAGCTGACCTTGGAATTCTGTCTCCACTTTGACACAATAAATTGAATCTCCTGCTCTACTCAGTTGATTATCTACTACTACTATCCTACTACTGTTTACTATAAAAAATAAACATATTATATAATTTATATGAAAACAATCTGTAATCAATTAAAATATTAATTAACAATTATCTTTCAAATTCATCAAGCGTCTTGGATATTACACTTTATATTGCCTAACTTCATTATAAAATTATATAAATTTAATTAACTGTTATGTAATGTTCTTCAATAAGATGCAACAGAATCAAATAATATTGCTATTACTATTAACATTATTTGAGAAATGTATACAATAGTTAGGTCATTAAATAACAATTATAAATTATAAACTATTTTGGCAAAAATTATAACTTGGAAACGTCAAAGTATTGCCCGCCTTTCTTACCAGGGAGGAGTCTGACCGATTTGCCAGCTAATTTTTCTCCAGGTGGATATGATTAAGTACCCCTATCAACCAGGCATCTATCCACAGGCAATTAGGTCAACTTTGAAGCTATTAACAAAGACCTATATCATTAACTTTGCCTTAAAAATTTACTTAAATACTACAGTATTTTTTTTTCTTTTAAGCAACCTGACCACTTTTATACTTAAGAAAATGTAATTAAATTTGTTCGTATAAATTTTTAGATGAAGCACATCAAGATGTACACTGCAGTACATCCTAACGATATTATTGTAAAACGGTACATCAAGATGTTTGCTGCAACGCATCAATAGCGATAAAAAAAATTCTTACCATTCCGTTGCATAAACTCATGACAGCAGCGGAATCGGGATGACTGTTAACATTTCCAGTATAAAAGCAATGATGAGGCGCGTCATTCTGTAACGTATTGTATATATCATCCCCAGTTGAACCTATAGCATCTACGACAAAATTTGAAGCAATAAAAGAATCATCATGGGCTAAAGTTAAATGAAATTGGTGCCCAAAAGCTTCTATTAAATACATAGTTTTATCCGAGTCCCCGAAGAAGGCTGCATCTTCCTCAGGCGTAGGCACACTCCGTTTACGAAAATGGTGTACATTTTTAATTGATTCACGTTTGTGATTGACTCGAATTGGTGTGACAATCTCATACGATTTGTTATCTGTAAGAAAACATAATGATTGTAATGTAATTTCCTATTATTAAAAAGGGTCCACTATACACTCTTAACAAATGTTTAAACATTGGCAACCACAACATAAAAAATGCAGTATGACAGTTAACTAGTTGCTTAAAAAATACATAAAATATCAAATGATGTTAACTAGTTGCTTAAAAAATACATAAAATATCAAATGACATATTAAAGGTCCATGTGAATTGATCATTGGGAGTAATGATCTTGATGGTTCAACTTCATTAAATATGGTTCAATAATAAAAATGTTTAAAAAATAGTGTTATTTATAAACATTAACATGTTTTCACCTCATCCTATCATAGACATTAATTGATACTGTTTTAACCATGGTTAACTGTAAGTAGGGACGATCCAGGATATTTAAAATAGTGGATGGTACTGAGGCAAAAAATGTGTTAGTAACCCAATCAAATAACGGCCTAAATGGTATCTAACCCTCATCTATGCATGCCACTGGCAAAAGTGGAGCGAAAAGTCCCGGGAAAAGCCGGGTCGTTCAAACTAGGTAACTGCAGTATGAGCATGGATGGGTCTTACCTGATAAGTCTGGTATAGCAGCTCCGTGAGAAAAATAAAAACAGTTCAGCAGCACAATGATAAGGACGGGCAGCAAATAAGAGTCCATGATAAATATTTGATTTAACTAAACGACTGACTAAAGCACATGCTAGTTTTGCTTGATGATCAGCTGGATGAGTCGGCTGTGGGCCAAAGACGAAGGTGGCAAAATTCCAAACAGGGGCTTGTATATAGCGCAGCCAACTGAACTGAACTCATTCACATAAACTGTGACGGTTCAGTGAGTACGGCATAGCTCCGCCTGCTATATTTCGACCAATCATCTCTCTAGGAAGTTATCGGAAGTAGTACTAAAAGTTGACGACCGGAAGTCGGTGAAGCAGAGAATTGCAGGCGTTATTAGTGGGGCCGTAATGCATGGATACATAATCAGGTGAATGTTAAAATATATTTTTAAAAATAATAATTATGTGACACGTTGTAGACCACGATGAGTTGAATTTCGACATCTAATGTCTCTCTGCCTCACGTTTTAGACATTTTTATACTTTATCCAATCGATTCAGATCATGATGATCGAGAGCAATCCGACAGTGAGCTCATGCCTAGACGTACTTTTTTTTAAACAAGATTCGCCAATGCCTACAAATTTAATTGACAATTCAATTAATTTCAATTAAACTATTTCGGATTTTTTTCATTCTATATAGGCCTATGTCAACATCAAACTAAAAAGCAACTTAAATAAGCCTACATCGGTGCCATATTAAAAGATATACGGACTGCTTGTGAGACAAAAGTTGAAGAAAGGATCAATGTTATGGTGACAAGAAAATAATACAAAAACTTTTTTTTTAAATCCAAAATGAGATACATGTAATCATAAAATAGAAACAATAAGCGCCATTGTTAAGGATAAAAGAATCTCTATTGATATGAATTAATGATGCACGTATTACAGATAATTCAATGGCGTATTTACGGGGAAGCGTGTGGAGGCCCACCAGACTGGGAACACGCCCTTACCCCGGGAAACCTTGCGTCCTTCCCCTCCTGCTGTTCATTCCCTAATTCAAAAAAAAAATAAATATACACTCAGATATTTAAAAATCACATAAATTCACCACCATTTTAGCTTTTTCCACTTGGCCTGGGGCCCCAAAACGTAAACTTGGCCAGCAGTACCGTCCCCTTTCCTTCGGGGGAAAAAATTAAAGAGAGGCGAACCACGTTTCGGATAATGAAGAATTTGCTACAAGAGTTACGGTATTAATCACAGTAAAGTTATACCGTCCTTTTATATCATGTCGACTGTTGCTCAATACGTTTGTTAGCTTAGGCCTATTACTTTTACATTTTCTCTGTTATATTAGCTATTGTCTTTAGTATATTTAGGTGTGTGTTTTTTCAGTATTTTTAAATTTTAACCTCCGTTTTTATTATGTATGTTTGTATTTATTGAAATGAAAATGTTCCGCCAGAAATCTCCTTTTTTGGACAATAAAGAAATTTTTAATCTTGAATCTTGAAAACAAAAATATAACAAAAAATAAAACAATAGTATTCTTCACGTCTATAAATATATGTAAGGCTAAATAAACCTTTAATAAAATACCCAATTTTCCTGCATCAATTTAGTCATAATCTACGACATAATTGACTAAATATGGCCAACGTTTCAAGTTCTCATTTAAAATTATGGCGGCGTTGATTCTTTTAACAAGTAAACAAAATGGTTTTTCATGCCATAGTGTAAATGTAAAAATAAATTGTGTCAATGATGTGCAGCCTACACATACTTACGTGATATTTTCTCTTTCTAAAAAAAAATCAAACTAGAATATCGGAATGTTGTGTTAAACCTAAATGCGAAATGTAAGGGAATTAATACGAATCCAACAACAGCACGCGCAGTATTATAGCCCAGGGTAATGCTGGACCATGAACGGACGTTTAAGTAGGCTACCAAACGATGTAAATAAACAAATTTATTAAAGTGGAAACGCGGTCGGTCACAGAGGGCGCTACATTACTAGGCGGTATCATCT